CGCGGCTCGCGATCGAAATTTCCCGGCGACGAGTTATCTTCTTCCTACCCCTTCTATACCTTGATGATTTTCATGCCCATCTCGATATCAGTTTGTGGTAGTCGATGGTTAGGTTGTAGGCAATGGGAAGAATCCCATAAGTGGAGTAAAGTTGGATATAGTCGGACATAGTACTCGAGTAGTGTTTGGTTCCATTCTCAGGAATCTTCTCGAATCGGGAAAAGTCGGTTAATTTTTTGAAGCACAGGATTTTTTAAGAAAATACGCCTTGTTGCAGAGAAATTCTTTCTTTTGTGTAGAATGTGTGACGAAGTAGGTTTATTTTAATTGTTTCTTGTTTTCGGTTATTTCACGATTCAACGGCGGGAGGAATTACATACCACCGAGTGCACGGTTAAAAAAAAACTTAAATTATACCGAGTTTTTTTTAGAGCATTTTCTTAAAGTTTAACTCGGTAAAAACACTGTCTGAAAATATCAAATCGATGTTTGAAGAATTTACAAAGATACAAGGTATTCGGATTAGATAAATTAATTTCAAAATCGAATACCACACTGCCAGGCGTCTCGGAGAAAATATTTCTAAGATGATATACTTTCAGAAAATGTCATTCCTGAAAATTTATTTGTTCAACCTCCCGACTAGGCATAACCAGTGATGGGACTCGGCCGGTTCGCATGAGTTCGGTAGAACAGGTTATTAAAATGATACTTGTAATCGTATTTACTTGGTTACATCAACAAATTTTTGTTACAAATTCATTCTCATTTTTGTAATTGACGCTGTAGTTGTGAACCAAGTAGTAGTTGAGATCCAAATTCTCGGAGTATCAAATAAGCGAGTTACTTTGGATTACGTAGAGACTGTCGGTAATTAGGTTGACTCGTGTCACTGTGTTCCGTCTCGCACCCCTTAAGCAGTGGTTGATCATCGAACCCACCCAAAACGGAAAACATACCTGTGTCCCCTGAACATCTCCCGTGTGCATCGAGTAACGATCCCGAAAACGTTGCAACGGTTCGGTCGCAACCACTAGAAGACGAACAGAGAGACCATGATCGAAAATGGAACGACAGACGTGTGTTACGTCGAGGTTCGAAAACGGAACAGGAATTTCAAGAGCCCACCACTCGGGTAATCCGATTAGCCGATCGCCTACGAATGGGGCTCGTAGCCCGTAACCGGAGAGCCTTCAGCGTGAAAGTGCTAAACGAGCAATAAGAAAGTAATGGCGATGCTCAAAAGCACGATCCTCTTCCCCTGCCCCCTACCCACACAGCCCCTTGGTACCGACATGGGCGGCCCAGGCGGGGCTGCAAGGAGGGTCGGCGGGGCGAGGGGTTGGGGGAACGGGTACCGCGCGCAATTACGGATTTTGAGTGACAGATGCTCGCCCAGTCGGCAGTCGGAAGATTAAAACAAGTAATCAAAGCCCCTGGTAGCCACCCCGGGATGGATATGGATGGATGCATTCCCCTCTATCCCCCTCGACCATCCCCCCCCGGTCCAACCCCCTCCGCGCTGTCTCCTCGTTTTCGTGGCCGCGCTACGTTTCCCTTCTAACCCCCCTCTCTCCCCTTTTCCAGATCCCCCGTCCCACCAACGTCGAACCACCAAGGCTAAACCCTCCCTCCCCCCAAACCCTTCCCAGCTACTATAATATCCACCTATCAAGCCGCGCTCTGAATGCTCCTTTAAGAAAATGTTCCTTTTCGCCGAGCAGTCGCGAGCCAGAGGGGGATGGGAGGTTATTAGACGGCTCCGCGAGGGAAAGGATCCTCTTTGACGCGCGCGCTCGCTCGCTTCGATCGCCTGGTCTGACAATAACCGACGGGTTTTAGCCCTGCTACGCCCCCTCCCCTCCCACCATCGACTGGTGGATGCTGCTTAGGCGGTCGGCTAATGACGTTAAGTGATTCGAATGCCTGTTCTCGATGGAAAACAAACAAACAAGCGTGGAAATGTGGATCGAAACGTGTAACCGAACGTTAATATCGAACGGAAAAACGGAACGGATGGGTGCAGTTCCTCTGTTATCCGTTGCAGTAGAGTGCTTATTCTTCGATCGTATGCCCCCGAAGAGATCAGAATTTTCTACCAACAGGTAAAAATCACAGGATCGAACTGTTATCGTTTAGTCTGTTGGTGGTTGATGTGAAAGTTTCATTCGCGACGTTCACATGTACGGTCGTAGGAACTATAATAATGATTGCAATATATTTGAATTGTATCGATATTTTTGACATCGTCACGTATCGATGCCCAGAATATCGATACACGTGTATATCGGGAATAAAATATCGATATTATCGGTGTAGATACTGGCAATTAAATTAAAAGTAATAAAATCGAAAAATGAAAATAAATCATTTATTTAGGTAACTGCGGGGAAAAGAAATCGATCAATCGCAAAACTTTGTAGGGCAAGCTCGCGATTGGCCTGTTTTTCTTGGATTGTATCGAAATTACGGTATTTATGGGTTAAGTATCGATACCAAAATATTGCGTCATATTAAATATCGATATTGTATATCGATATTTGAATTGAATAAATATCGATATTTGAATTGAACAAGTATGGATATTCGAAATATCGATACTATATCGCCCATCACTAGTCGGAACCCGTTTTCTTTTCTTTTCTTCGCAGATAAGTACACGATATCTGTCCACTTGGAGAGAGGAAATATCGGCAAGGATCGGGCGCGGTAAATCCTGACTAACCGGCTGGACTCGCGGCACACTGTGGACAGTAGCGGTGAAGAGCTTACGGATTAAACCTCGGTGACAATAGCCGGATAGATTTTTTCCCCATTGATTCGCCGTTCATCCGTTCGGAAAAGTTTGCGATTTGAATAACATTCCTTTATTTTTCATATTGCCCTCTGATGGCCAAACCCCGCCGATTATTATCGATTTTCCTATTTGACGCGCGGCCAATTCGTCGTAATGTTCGTCCGATTAAGAGTGAGCGTGGATTATGTCGTCGCTGGCCGGGGAAGAGGGATTTTCCTGGTCTAATCGACTTCCTAGTCGTCTATCGCCGCCGGTTTGTTCCACCCTCTACCCTCCGCGATTGTTGAGGGTGTCGTTGCACGGCTTCTCCCGTTCTAATTGCTCCTCTTGTTGTTCAGCAACTAACGCTTAAACGGACCTTAACATCTGCTCCCGTTGTGACAATTTCTACTTCTAAACGGATTCGAAAACTCGGAATTCCCGGGCTGGTGACGTTTTTAACAACTTCAAGTGTCAACGACTCTGTAATATGGTGTCGTATTGAATAACTCTGTAATGTTGGCACTAACTCTAACTGGTGTCGTTGCGCGGAACAGTGGCACTCTTAACGCTTCACTCACCAGCTGTGGTCGAGTAATTTTCTTTTCTCAGAACCGACGATTAACAGGCGAGAAACCTGTGTAATATATTCGTCGATCCCAATGGTAAATTACGATCATCAGCTGACAAGCCAATCCGAGTAACATAATTCAACAATGACTTTTTTCAATTCTTACTCGAAGGAAAATTTGTAGGCTTCTTCTGGATAAGCACTGGCGTCTGATCATTAGATAACGTCTTATTTAATCTGTAATTAACCACTGGTTAACTGTCTAACTGATAGATGAAAAGCAATTCGGCTGAATTCTCGACGTCCAAAGCGTCGACATCGCCGAAAGTTCATTTACGACGTCTTGGAAACGCTGGTGAGGGGACCGCGCGTCTGGTAGCTCGAGAATATGTTTAATTTTAAGATTTTGGCTCGCACAGGACCCGAGATTGGATTTTATAGGGTGAGAGGGGATGAGCCGTTTATCTCGGGCGTCGCTTTTCAGTTTTTCCCCGCTTCCCGTCTATCTTATGTCGCCTACCTCCGCCGACCCTCTTCTCCGGTTACTTCATCCCTTCCTTTAGGGCGTCACCAGTATCTTCTTCGCGGAATAATAAGCTCTCCCTTATAAATTTATCAGGAATTCAGAAATCGGTCCACCCTTTAATACCCTCGTTCGCCAAAATTAGATCCCAATTGACACTTCCATTTTTCCAGAATCTTTACCTTCGGAGAAAATGTTTATTTTGAGCGTTTTAATTAGATTTACATATGTACAATTAACTCTCCACTGGAGACCACTTGGATAGTCTACCTCAGCTATACTGTTTTGCTGAACTTCAGTTCTTGCGAAATTATGCTGTTGTAAATTATTACCTATTTCGATAATTTAGGGGTTAAATGTATCGACAGTTGGGATAAGTAAATATTTTAAAGTGTAACAGTGTTACGTCTGTGTTTACCCACAAAGAAGGAATAATTGCATCAACGCGAGGAATTGAATCGAACAGTATTATCGAGGAATTACTTAATTATTGCTCCTCTTCCTACGTAAATTCAAGGGATAGTATGTACTTTGGTACCAGAAACGCAGAGAAGGGGTAATCCGAAACGGACTTTGAAAGATTTGACCTGCCGCTATTACTTCCATCGCCACAAAGAATCAAATTAACCAGCACAAGATTGCTGTTCCCCCTCTATCCCGGATTCCACCCTCGAATCCTCCACATCACACGCGTACATACGAGCGTTCACGCACCTTTTTCTTCCCCTCTTGCTTTCTATTCGAGCATTACGAGCCACCATGCCCTTTGCTTCTGATTGAAACGAACCGAGTACACCCTTGTTGGCAAGAAATTGTAAGAGGTGCATGATTACATAAACCGCGTATATTGTCCTTTATTTAATTTACTTTTCGGAATATTTTATCGAAAAGGGAAAGAAGTCGTAATACTTGCATAATATTACAAATATCATTGATAGTCAACAAACATCTATGGAGATTATAAGAATATAATGGAATATAATTTCTGCTTTAAAAAATGTTAATCAATGAAATATACAATAACTGCATTATACTTCGTTTCAAAGTTTTATTTTATTGTACTTTGCTGTAAATACATAAATATCCCAAGTATAAGCATTAAAGGTAAAGAAGGAGTTGTTTCTGTGGTTCAAAGATTTGTGTATATATTACTATATATTACAGTACATTATGTTGTATAAAATATTGTATTTAATTTTCAATTCACTGACTCAAAGTATTGTTTGCTATCCTTTGGATTCGGTTTTATGGTCTTAGAATCTGGCTGCCAATTAGCAGGACAAACTTCTCCGTGTTTTTCAACGTATTGGAATGCTTTGATAAGCCTCAGTGTTTCTTCAACACTTCTTCCAACTGGTAGATCGTTCACACTAAGTTGTCTCAGTATTCCTTCTCTGTCTATTATGAACAATCCTCGCAAGGCTACTCCAGATTCTTGAAGGAGAACACTGTATTTGTTTGATATTTCTTTCTTAAAATCACTTAGAAGGGGATAGCCTAAATTACCACCCAAACCACCCTGTTTCCTTGAAGTATTAATCCAGGCTAGGTGACTGAAGTGAGAGTCTGTAGATACTCCAATCACTTGTGTGTTCAAAGCTTTGAACTCTGAAATTTTCTCACTGAATGCTATTAACTCAGTGGGACATACGAATGTGCTACAAACAAAGATACAAAGTTACTTGCAGGAAAGATTAATTTGTCTCCAATTTTAATGTACTAGAAACTTACAAATCTAAAGGATAAAAAAAAAGAACAACATATTTGCCCTTGTAGTCACTCAGTTTTATTTCTTTGAAATCACCATCAACCACAGCTGTTCCAGAGAAGTCAGGGGCAGGTTTCTGAACTTGAGGTTGACAACAAAAAAGCTTGGAACTGACACAGATGTTACGTGCATTTTCTACCAGTGTTAGATTCTTGGCTTTTATCAACGTTGATACACTGAAAGCCTGCAAGCATAACATAACCATATTTATTCATACACAACCCTAAATTCTTAATTACAAGAATCAGCCCATAAGCATTGCTTAAATTCCAAAATAATATTCGGAAAACTTGCCTTTTATTTTTATTCAGTTAAATAATGAGAAAACTATTATTTTAGTCAGGTTGGTTAACTTACCGCTTTGCAAGCCTGAGGACGCAAAGACATTATCACTCGAAACATTGTAAACTTACGAATTACTGATGTTAGTACGAAAGTATTTATGTAAAAAAAACAAGACTTTTAATTCCAGTAAATCACAGAACCGCTTCACTCATCGGTAAAAGCCGGATGTATATAAGTAGAAGTCTTATATCCGGATTTTAAAGAGGTTATCTAACTCACTTCTCATCCGAACGATGGATGTTAATCATGGACATCAAAGGAAACCATTCAATTCGTTAAGTTTGCTCGACCAATTATCAATAAAATATTAGTTTAAATATTTATAATTATTCCTTTCGCGAAACAGTTAAATCCTTGCAGACAATAGGAACATAGAGGGCAGCATAAATCAGAATGCTCAATAACCTTGAGTCCGAAATTATATACATACATAGAATAACAAGAATTGTAATTCGGATTGACCGCTAAATCTGAGATAATCACACGTTAATTAATCAATATAATCATATTTTATTCAAATAACAACATTATAAGTTTTATACTCGTCCTTATTAGATGGTGAAACATATTTATATATTCATATATGTAAATTTTAATTGCAAACGATAATCATTGCGTTTAAATTAAATGTGTCTGGTTGCTCCTAAAATGGAAGATATTACACTATCTACCAATAAATAGCATTTGACTTTCTAATCGGGCGATAATTGCTTTAAAAGTTGGTTCGTCGTCGGTGGAACCAGACATGCGGCCGAAGGGACCAAATATTTATGCTTTCGTAATAACTGAACCAATTGCATATGATGTTGAACAAAATTCTGTTCAATAGAAAAAGAAAACTGAAGTCTATTACGTACTCTCTTCAGCAAAACGAGTACGGAGTGTCATAATTTTTGTTGCATGTATTTTCGGTCAACATAACAGTTCGTCCACATTATATGTTCAACATGTACATGCTTCGAAGCTTAAATACAGAAACGTGATATACAAGTCTGTTTACACCATACGGGACACATAGGCCATATTGTGTTTCGTACACTCAATTCTTTTTTTACTATACATAAAGACAGACTCTGCAGCATAGAAAAACGTCATTCAAGTAACGACAGAGTGATTGACCTATGTAATCTTGGTCTGACCACAATCATTTTGGTTCTTTTTTTGTCTTAATTGGAAGCCGTGGCAGTTGCACTAGGAGCTGGTGTCGTCGTAGACGTCGATTCTTCCGTCACGATTCGTCGATTCTTTTTTATCCTCTTCCACTCGCCATTCGTGTAATTCATTTGAAAGTGCGTTTCAACCAACATCGGTACAGTGGTTCCATCCGGTTGTGTTACCTCTTCGATGTTCTCTGACAGCATTACTGTGACTATATTTCCTAATTTCGGACAAGGATTATCTGAAGAAAAAACAATCACGTCATAAGTAAAACGCCTCTAGAACATTGTTACAAATTTTATATGTTTAAACAGCTGGGGTGAATTTTAGTTCTTAGCGTTTCCGCTTATAATCGTAGAGGGTGCAACAAGACAATTAAATTTTTACAAAATCAAGTGCTTCGGGATATGTGATAAAAGTCTCCAAGATATTTGATTTATCACATACACTGTCTGTAGCAGCATACATGTATTGATATAAAAAATAAATACATACCCCTGGAGCCAGCCATGAAACCTAAAATAAGAGCTTTCTCTGGTCTAGTAACTTTGTTAGCTGTTCTAAACATTTCTTGTGCTTCTAACATTTGTTCTCGCTAAAAAAAAAAGAACTTTGTTATTAAAGATAATAACCATTGATTCTATTCCATTAAAAGCACACTGTTCGTACGTACTGTAAGAGATAAACCCTTTCTTGTATTGGCAGCTGCATTTGCTGGTTGCGCAGTAGTTTGTATACGAATCTGCGTAACGGTTTGAGCTGGTCTAACGGTTTGCACCCCAACGGGTGTACTTTCTACCGGTGTAATAACCGTTGGTGTCGTGACCGGTGGTACTATTGTACTTGGAGTGGTTGGTGTCGTCGGGGTTGTTGCTATATAACAGTAACTTCATTATTTTCCCATACAATTGATGCACATTATCAATTCTATAACATGAAAACGTACGGGTAGGTGGAGTAGTTACTGTTGATGCTCCACTTGGTGTGGTAGGTGTTACATAAGACTGTACAGACACCACGGGAGTAACTGGCGTAGCGGGTGGATTAATTGAAGCCAATCCTTGAGCATACTCTGGTGTAGTTGATGTTTCTGTTGTTGTTGTCGCCGTCGTCGATGCTGCAGCAGCTGCAGCTGCCTGAGCTTCTGCAACTTTCTTTTGCTGCTCCTCTAATTCCATCATTCTCTTTCGTTTCTTTGCTTGAGCATATCCAATTGGTTGCTCGTTAATGTCCAACAATTTAATACCACCATCTTTACGGATTCTACTACTAAGAGGTGTTCTGTTAGACATTGAAGAACTTGTGAGAGCTGGCGATCGAAAACCGCTTGTTGGAACTCTGCTGGGAATACCTTTTAGTGGCGCTGAAAATTAGTGGCTATGTTAGTTCTTGTTTGATTTTATATCTTTTCAAAATACTAGTTATAATTATACACATGAGCTTACTGGTGTCAGTCATTTTTCTAGGCATTCCTCTACTCCTTACAGGCACCGTAGGAGCAGTACTCTTTTTTAAATTACTCGCTGCATCTGTACTTTTCTGAAGCAACTCTGCTCTTAAAGCGGCACTTTTTGGTTTCCTCTTCAAAGTGAAATGCTTAACTGGTGTTGGCTGTTGACCAACCACTGAAGTAAGTGCAGTCTTATTAAGATAGTGACACTCTAATGGAAGCATAGCAGGATCATTCTGCTTTTTCAAGAGTTTTCGAAGATCATTAACTAACTCCCCAAAAATAGGTCTATGTTCATCTAGGTCTGTGATGTCTGTATTCAAAGAACCAGTGGAAGGAAAAGTCTTCATCGCTTCGGATAACATTGATACCCATAGCTCACTATCCAGTGATGCCACTTCAATAATCTCTTCCAGTTCCACACGCCACTGCACAATTTAATGGAATTATTTGTTACAAAGTGTAAGTAGGAAATACAATACATTGGAAATTATAATATCTTCAAAAGTTCATTATACTTTATAAAAACACTAACAACTGGCATTCATAGATTGATATCACAGTTAATTCTGTAAGAAAGACTAATCACATATAGAATATAGTTGTTTACTACACGTTCTAAAAACATTTATCAGTTGAATAATGTTAAATAAGTGGCGGGCGCACAACGTGTACGTAATCATGACCAAATATTTATTGCATTAAACTTGTCATCGCAAGTTTCTTAGTTAACACGTATAGAAAATATCTTTCCGCTTCTCACTTTTGTTCAACGTTCGTAACAAGCAAACTGTCCTCACCTCCTCGACATTCCGTCTCGGTATGTGGAAAAACGAAAGGAGTAGTTTGAGTTTAACTTGCGTTTGAAGATCTGGAAAACAGTCTTTGATGTTCCGCAATACTTCTGCATTGAGTTGTGAACAAATTGAGCTTCCAGTCCAGCTATCATTTGACGTTCCAAGCTTGTTATGAAGCCACAACGACGTATCACTATCCCTCACATTCGCCATATTGGAGTCGTTTGTTTCGTACATTTGACGTACATTGCCGTAGTGCGCCACATGTTATTCCCGCCATAAAATAACGTGACACTTATTCATAAAATATATAAGTTATAGACACTACATCCAATTTAATAAGCAAAACGCGTAGAGTATAACTGACAGTCAAAATATAATTGGTGGACAAGTGATAACGTGCTTGTAAAATTTGTTAAGATGACCACCGAAGTGTTCTTCACACGTTTGAACAACCTCCTTTCTAAAAGTTTGAGACGAGTAGATCTCAAAGCCCGCCTGGACCTATTACATTGCTGTAAGTCAGTGCACAGAATAGGAACAATCATTTAGATGCAAATGGGGTAAGTTCTTATTAATAACTAGATGAGAAAATCCACATTTTTTATGACACTCAAATACCGAATATTGTAGCGCATTCACTACTCGTGAATTTGTTCTAGCAACAAAGCGTTTGTATTAACACCGACAAGCTATAAGAATAGACTTTTCATCTTATGGGAGTTAGTGACCCACCTGAACTGTAGCACCGACACCTTAAAAAGCCTGTGATTTTAACGACCTTTACGTTATGAGAACGGTGAATCTGCGGTGGGTAGTGACACTAAAATGGAAATGGGGCAATGTCGCCCCAGAAAAGTGGACCTAAAAAATACATTGGGTGAAATGTCTGCTCCTATACCTCGTCTGTGGTATTAATAACTATGAAATTCTTTTTGAAAAATTTAATTTTATTCATCATTTAATTCATCTTAAGAAACTAATTAAATATACATATGTGTATACTTATAACGACTGCTGCATAGTTGATCTATACAAAGTGATTTCACAAATTGTATTGTTAACTATGACCGATGAAAATTATCCTTAATTTAACAAAGGTTTTCCCGCGGATGCAATGGCGTCAAATGGCGTCCTTTTGCGGCAACGTGCGTGTTGATGTTTAGTATTATTGTTGTGACATTAAGTGGCCAGTAAAGAATTTCTAGAATATGACAAATATGAACGGTTTTTCAGACTCACAAGAGTCTGCTCTACTTGAGGATGATGTATTCTCGGAATTACAACGGGAAATGTAAGACATGATATTTTATAGATATATGTAATAGTCTTGTTTTAAAATCGAGTTTCCTCGTTCTAAAAATATGCTCAATTATAATAAAACAAAATATATATATTTCCTCATTAATTACAATCTCAGACAGTTGATGTTTTCGTTATATAAGTATAATAAAATTTGTAATTATACGTAATATACTAGTTAAATTTCTAATGATAATTCAGGGTAAACTGAATTTTCAGTAAATCGCGAAGAAAACATTATTCTTATTGTATATGGTCTTTTTTGTGATTTGATGCAGAGGAAGCCAAACATTACCATTGCTGACAGATAATATGTTAGATGAAGTAGAGGAAAAATATAGTTTCACCCAACAGTACACAGAATGTACAGAAATAAAAAATGAATCTTCAGATAGAGAATATTACCAAGAAACTGCAGCTCCAATAAGGGAGGAATTTGCGGGATGCTACGATTTTCAGTTCTCGCTAGCTAATCAGGGTTCCAGTAAACATTGGGTTGTAAGTAATTTAATAAATTCTTGATTTGTCATGACATAATAATTTGAATTCTGTATATATGATTCATGTTTTCTTATTATATAGTATTCTCAGATATTGAGAAAAGTGTTTATTCTCATGGATGAGACACTGCCAGTGCGTTTCAAATGGGATCCACCAGAGGATGGTTTATTTTTGCGTACTACCATGGTTTTTAGTTTGGATCAATATGCATCAGATCCAGTAAAAAGATGCCATAACCATGTGGCCGCAGTTAATACAAACAATCGAGATATAGATCCAAGAATAATAAAACATGTTGTTCGTTGCTTGGATCATTCAAGCATGTATGAAGAAAGGAACGAGCATTTGTCTGTATTGACACCTCTTCATACACCTCAAGCTGGATCACAGTATGTGCTAATGAATTTCAAGTTTCTGTGTAAAAACAGTTGTCCATCTGGTATGAATCGTAGACCCACAGAATTAATTTTTAATTTAGAAGACAGTAAAAGAACGGTATTAGGTAGACGCAGGCTTCTTGTTAGAGTTTGTAGTTGCCCAAAAAGAGATTTAAAAAAAGAAGAGTCTGAAGTAACAGAGGCACAGCCTGAGGTTAAAAAGAGGAAACTTTGTTTGCCTGTTGCTAAAAAAATGATGCCTTCGTGTGACACCCATGTCTTTAAGGTTCAACTCAATATAATTGGTAAAGAAAACTATTTAGCAGTTTTAAAATATGCGTACGATATTATGGCTGGCCAAGCCTCGCGAACCGGACACTATGAGTTTTTTAAACCATACATGGACGACATATTGCGCAAAACTCCGTGAGTTTACAAGTTTTGTGTCTTTCATATTATCTTATGTGCCTTAAAAATTCGAAGTAAGTATGTTCTATTGTTATATATTTATATGCATTACAAATTGAAGTAATGCATATTCTAACACAAATAACTCAACACCACTTTTAACACAAGAATATGCATTTTATAATGCATTACTATACAATTTGCTTCAATATTTTTATACTAATATTGTGATATTTATAACAATTTGTATACCGAAGTATACTGTACTTGTTAATCTTTTATTACGATTATGATAATAAATAAATACTTTTGTTACATTTTTTAACATTATGTGTCTCATACATCAAATTGTTCATGAAGGCTGCACTCGTCTAATTGAATGTTCAATGTGTGCAGTGATAAAGCGCTTGGCAATGGCGCAATATGTTGTGTTGATACAGTTACGGGAATTTCAAGGCTGACAACGCTTCTTCGCAGTTTTATTTCAGTACCATTTTCCCCTTGGCCATGCAAAGTCCATTCCCATACATTCCTTCCTCCCCTTGTACATGAAATCCAGACAGCTTCCTGATCGTACTGTACATTCACAATTCACAATATTATTTTTCTTATAATAGTAGTTTAAATAACTTTTTACAATAGAGAAAAATACCTGGAGGAAAAAAAGGTCTCCACCATAATGTATTACATAAACAGCATTAACACCAAAAGGAAGTGGTAATGGTATCTGTATATGAATGGAATAAAAATGTACTTGGGGTACATCATGAACTCCACTTAAATGTTCCAACACTATATCAGATGTAATAAAATCTCTGCAGTCAGTTTGTTTCGAAAGAGGGCATACTATTTGTGCACAGGTCACGGAATCCATAGAACCTTCCCAAATGGGTGTAGGGGGTACACTGGACATCAAACTGGCAGTGCTCGACATTCTGCTTACAGCATCAGTCTGCGAATGATCATTGTTAACATTTCTCGGAATTTCTCTCGATAACTCTCCAGTGCTCGCAGACTTCGTACGATCGCATAATCTTAAACGCTCTGTGAATTTCAAATTATTCATCAAGGCTTCATTCGCATTGCATGTTTCATTGGCGACTGTTGTTAAATTATCCGCTGAAGCGGCTTTCTCTGCTCCACCGAGAAATAATTTACTTAACAATAACTGACGTGCTTTCAAAATTGCACCGTTACTTTTTGATCTCTCTGATGGTGCTCTTCTGCTTTTAGTTTTGCCAAAAAGGTGATCTCGAAGACTCCAACCCCGATATACAGTGTCATCACATGAATTGTTCTTTATCTCAAAAGCGTCCCGAAATATTTTATGCAGTTTGTCTGCAAGCAAGCATCGACCTTGACCCAATCTAACTCTGCAGACTGGACAACGAGGTGTTCTTGTTCTACATCCTACACAAATGATATGTCCGTGAACACACTGAGAAACCGGGGGCATTGAACTGTCCAAACAAACTGGACATTCTAGTGCTCTCACCTAAGTAAACATAAGACTTAGTCTGGCAATTGGTATACCATGCATTTAAAAAAACAAGTTAAGAAACAATTAAATTACATACAACTCCAGACACTGCATTTGCAAGCTTACTGGCTACATCAGGTAGAGGTCCTTTTACAGCTATTCCTGTTTCTTGCTGCTCTTCTTCATTAGCATATCTCCAAACAAACAGATTTACATTGTGTTTCTGATGCTGATGAATCAATGTTGCAATTTCTTTTATTTTCAGTCCTATTAAATCCTTTCCATTGATGCTCACTAAGCAATCACCAGCTCTAAAATGTGATGGACAGACTCGTTTAAATTTGAAAATGCTATAATTACTTTATAATTTCACTTGCTAGTCTCACCTAAGACCAGCTGCATCCGCGAGACTTTCGGTTTCAACGCAGCTTACCCAAGGATAGGGATCCCATTTTGATTTTGTAAGATGAAATCCACAAGATTTGGCTTCCTTTATATTTTCTAATGTTACACAAATCTTTCCCGTGACTGAAGATACATTTGACGAATGTTCTTCTGACAAAGGTGTCATAAAAATTTTGACACCTGCTGCTTCAGTCAACAATTCTGGACTAGGTACAATAGACATATTTCTTCCAAAAACTTTTTTATTTCCAGAGTATCTGTTATTTAATTTTAACTAGCATTTCGGGCAGTCATCGAAATTACATTTAATATTAACTTAAAACACAGAAAAGTAAAATAAAATCGCTTTTGTGTCATTTCGTATGTCTCGGTTTATTATTATAATTACGATAACAAGAACATCAATTAGAATCTTGTATTAAAAGAGTGAATAGCCGTGATCCGCCTCTGGACCATACCATGATCATACTGATCAGGTTTAGTCTTTAAGTAAAGTAAAAGTCTGCTACTTGTTCACCTTCGCCTAATTTCGTGGCCTTGACATTTATTCTCCGGTTTATTCTACACCGTTGTTATTTGTCTTTTATATTTACGACGTTAACGCAATAGGAAAAACTTAGTTTCCAGTAAAAAAAATAAATGTGTTCAACATTTCAACGCTTATTTCATAATAATACGTTTTCCTTGGCAACAATGACCAATGAATGCACATGAGTGTATCTCTTTTCTCTTTATTAACATATCTACATGCAATAATTGCAAATAACTTGTTCAATCCTAATTTAATCTAGTGGAATAGATTTATACGAATCTATATGCAGATATAGAGAGTTTGTTGCAAAAGTCACTCTTTGCATTAACTCAAAAACTGCAAGTTTTTACATTTTTAAAATGTAACGATTTTTAGAGATCTTCAATACAGTAGGAGTATTATATTTAAGGAATATTAGAACACAATAATCATTTATCTCTATCTACTATATGGTAAGAAGGCAAACTCTCCGACATCACTGACTTGGAAGAACATACAATTGGATTGTGTTTAGAAGGTTTAAAATATATTCTGCAGAACATAATTGAAATGCATCCGATATGTTTGGATAAAAAAAGATTTCGGTAAGTCTTGGTCAAGAATGATAACATTTCCAGTAAGAACTATTGATATAATATGTTCAAACACTGACTCAGCGTATGTAGCGTAGTGTTTGCAGTGGCTTTAAGAACTAGAAGGTCAGGGTCTAAATTCAAGCTTGAATTCTCAATAGTTTGTGCTAATGCAAGATTGTGCTTTTCTACTTTGCTCAATTGTTCCTGACAATTGGCAAAAGCATCTAAAACTTCTAGTTTAGCCACTGGGTTTCTATTGGAGTTGGCTGAATGTTCCCTTGGAGGTAAAGGGGGATGACAGCTGGCAATTGCTCTGGTATACATTTCTGTGACAGCACGTAATTTATCTACCCATTCTTGTCGAGCTCTGGCATCTGTGGCTCTCAATTTAATCATATCACCTATATTTATACAATTATTATTACAAATGTATACATCTACTATTAATATAAAGTGAAGTATAAATATTTCATTTATGTAATAAGATTGGATCTTTACGCAAATATAGATTTTTATGGACTAATTTACAAAAATTTATCTATCATATCAAGGGTTCTACCAGGTTTAAAACAAAATAAAAACCTAATTAAGTTTTATTTGATTTTTTACTATACTCAGCTTTAGGCAATCATGTATGCCATAAATGCAGAAAACCCGTAATCTAATGACAAGAACATGGAAATAAAAGAATTTCAATTGTTTATATTGTCAATTGACCATGTAAACATGTAAAATCGGGAATTATTAATTATATTTTGTAATTAATAATGATCCAATGATCTTTGGAGCATGTATGTACTTTGAAATAATTACAAAGAAAATACAATTCTATTTGTATGTAAACAATAATATATAATTCTATTTATTGTTATACCTGTGGCAGAATTGACAGTGAATGTATTAGAATCTTCATCACTGGGTGCAATCACTGCACCAGCTAAATATATTGAGCATCTTGGTCGTTGATTCTTCTCGGATTCACTAAGAAAATAATGAAGTTCACCAGTTTCGGGACTAAGTATAAACCAACGGTATTGCCAGCCTTTCATGGCATTGGTATACTTGTGTAATAAACCCTCGTAAGGGTGTCTTATTTGAACGTTCATCATTTATTATTCCTATTGTTTGGAAGCCTCGTAATATTTAAATCAAACAGTTGCGTACAGCAATCTGTCATCTGAACTGACACATCAAGAAAGGCTAGTCAGATTTCTGTAAGTTAGGTTAGGCCGAAACGTAAATAAAGCGCAGCGGCCATGCTCTATGTATAATTCCAGCGTCAGATACAACATACAATTTGCTGCATCTCGTGTATACCCAATGGTACTGCTTTAGTGAACGTGGACTCCGGCTGATTTTTCAACTCCTAGACACTTTGCGGTAGACCGAACGCCTATCGATGAAACTACATTTAAGGCCGTACGTACATAAGTATATACCCGACTGTGGTTTGATCAATAAGTGTTCGATCCACCATAAAATTTCCAATTGTAAAATCAATCATAGTCTACGTTTGTCTATCTACTCTTATGACAGACATCACATCAATGAAATCTTCAAATAACTTACCATGAACCATTATACGGTTATAATATTCAAACACCAAGTCAATGTCGCTGACAATTTTATGTATTTATTATCAGACATGAATAATATAAAAATTGTGTATTTTCGCTTAAACGCTAGATAATCAATTTATTCGTCGTATCACAATAATCATACTTTAAAGCTTATGGAAGTAAAATATCGTATTGATTAACAGAAATGAATATAAGTAAAATGATCTTCATAAAATAAACTAATCTGAACTGTCTATTTAGATCTAGGCCAATAACATGTTCACTTCACAGTATTAAATTCTTGAAAATATAAAACTGTACTTTTAAAATACTTAAATGAACTCTGTCAACTAAAATTCCTTGTGGTTTATTTTCTTTCTTTCGTTTTAATAAAACATAGATCAAAATTGTATAATACCCCAGTCTTTTACTTCGATATTAAACCATCTTCAATTAATTTTTCTCGTATCAGTGGTAACTCCACATCGTAAATACGATCCTCTTCATTGTACTCAACAATCTTTACCTGAATATAATCATTGGGTACTATCGATTCTGAAATCTGTTTTTTTATTTCAAGAGAGGTGTATATGTTGTTCTCAGTAGGAGCTAAATCTATCCAAGAATAACGTAAATGTAGTAAACTGAACACTGTAAATAAAACCTATACGCAAGGAGAACCAGAGTTACTGTATACTTACTAACAACTCGACAAACACTTGCAAGTGCTTCAGGCGTAATAAAATCTTTTGGCATAAGTCGTATATTCTCATGAGCTATGTCTTCAATATTTCCAAAGTCAACAAAGAAAACGGTGCATGTTTCAGACGCTCGGCTACGGTTAAGGCAAACAGCACGATACCATCCACTTCCATCGTAAGCTAGGCACAGCTCTTCCTCACGAGGAATATAGGTTTTAGATGCTTCGCAATATTCCGTCATCTGTATCAGACGATATATAAATAAAGCAATGCCTAATACTTCCTTATATGTGATAACTTAACGAAATAAAATTTCATTAATAGTTACCATTTTGGGCATTATATCAAGAACATGGGTCACTAAGTTATAATCTAACGGGCATAATGTATATTTGTAACCGTCTTCTATAGAATGCAATATAATTGCTTTAACAATATCACCTACTTTTCCTAGGCTAATAACATTTAAATCGTTTAATGTGTAGCAAGTTGTATCTGCAACAAATTATTTTCGTGGTAACTGTAATTTAAATAACGTTATTTATTATTTCATAAATTATTCTTGTATAATCACCATCCTCGCCAGTCTTGTTCCAAGTAGGCACAAGCATTTCTCGTATGGTTTCATTAATATTTTCTCCTTTAGGTGATTTAAGATAGACGCCATCTTTAGACGGAATACCATCAAATGTACATGTCAGAGGAATTTCCGTTCCTACTAATACGCTGAGATAATCACTTATTTCTTTCGTCATATGAGTATCTTGAGGAACATCTTTTAAGACGATCTTGCTTGTACAAGATCGTAACTTTTGGGATATACCCTCGTTAGTACCTTTATCTAATAGCGTGTACTGTTGTTATGTAAATATGGAATAGTAACAAACCTGTTTTAAGTGATCGCTTAAAATCCTAAGTTTCTTTATACTGGTAACTTCTGTGTTGCCGAAATCAACGTATGAAATGGCAATTTTCTCCGCCTGTACTTTGGTAACGATTGCACGGTAATAATTGTTATCTACATAGTGAGCTATTACCATTTGTCCAACAACTGGTTGTTCCGTCAAGGGTGGAGCTAACATAAAAGACATATTGTCAATTTATATGAACCTGTAACTATTATTATGAAACACTTTGTGTACCTGTTTGAGCACATTTTGCAATGTTTTGCATAATATAGTTGTAATGCTCTAGATCTGCAGCATCCAAGGATCGCGCAAACAGGTGAACATGGCTCCGATAAGCAGTTAGACATACCTAAAGTAACCATTATTTAAACTAGGAATTTTCATAGATTAATTGTTAATTGAAAAAGATATTTGACATTATAGATATTCTTCTAGATTTATACTTTTACAATTGCTACACATATTACTTAAACGGGAATTCAGTTTGAAAGAGGCAATTGATTCAGACCTCGGATCCATTTTTTAATTCAGTATATTGTAATCCTTTTTGTTCGGGCATCGGAGTCCAAGGCTTTACAATAGCTTTAATTTTCTCCGGATCCTTCGAAAATTCTATTTCAATTTCGTTTTGTTGTTTACGGGACACGACTTTGAATTCATACTGCTCAGATGCCTGTAATTTACAATTGAAAAATGAGATACAAAATAATGCATGAAGCACACTTCATAAATTATTATACGACGTACACTGTGAAACTTACTGAAAACTTATGTTTTGTACCAATTACTTCACATGTAACACCAAAAGCACAAATATTTAAAAAGGTTTCTGGACAGGGCAGAGCTTTGGTAATCTCCATCATTCTAGCTTCATCTATTATAGCCATTTTTAATGGAGATTCCAGTGACAAAACATATCCCCTAAGCCAATCTCCATCAACTCTTTGACCACATATGATCTCTCCTATCTGAGGTCTACGAATTAAAATTGCTTTATTGTTAAACTAATAACTGTGTGTTGAGGCAATGTGTATATTATTAATAAATACCTGAAGTTGGTATTTCCTGCTTTCTGTTCACACATGGCAGGCAGATCATTCAGAAGCTTCTCAAAGTCATCAAGTGCGTGGTTGGTCAGTAATGTAATGCCATAGACATTGTTTCTCAATTCTGCATGGATCTCTAGGATACCTGTTACTCCATCAGGTACAGTATTTACTATATTTTCCAGTTTCTTGAATGAAGTTGGCACCTTCTCATTAGTACAAGCTTCCGAAGAAACCGGAACTTTATCAGCTTTCAAATTAGTCGGTATTGAGGATTCAACTTTCTGTACGGAGGTATCGTTTGTTTGAGCCTGTTCTACCGATACAGGATTTTCTTCTTGAATTTCTACGTTAATCACTTCACTGGTGTCAATAGATATCATTTTCACGGCTATTACATCTTCGTATTTGAGATGTTTATACTTTTCGTATGTTTCCTCGGATAAACGAATTTTAGCACAATATCTCGGGATAAGTTTGAACTTGGAAATCTCACGGAAATCATTCGTGTTCGCGACATCGTCGTTACCGTAATCCACGTAATGTACAGTTAAAGGACTCAGACATGTTACTACAGCTCTGTGCCATACACCCTCATACTGGACTGCATAAACTTGTCCAACTACTGGATTTACTTTCTGAGCTTTACTCGCTTCGTGTTGTAAATCAATCATTAATTTTGTAATGTGTTCATTGTCTTCTACCTTTTGAATCCAAAATTCACGACCTAACTGTACAATTATTCTTACATCTGTGAACTTCGATTTTGATAAAAATGTATGCTTTGAAAAAGCTATATCTTCTTCCATTTTCATTACATCTTCGGCGTTAAAGTTCTGACGCTTTTTAATGCTACTTCCAGAACTGTTTAACTTATTATCCACCGTTTTAACGGAATGCGAAAGGGAATCTTGAGACTTCTTAAACGAAGAGTTGGCTTGTTCTTCCATATTACTAATGGCTTGAGCGATATGTTTCATGTCGATTTTTCGAGTAGTTATGTTCTTTTTCACATCATTACCCTGGAGTCTATTATGTTGATCAGAATCAGTTTTAACAACGTTCGATTGATAACTTTTTGCATTATCATTACAAATATTTGCAGATGCCTCGGTAATATCTTGATCTTTTGAAACGGTCTTTGAAAGAATTTGATCTGATGATGCCGTGGTCAATGACTTTCTTGGTCGACGAAGAGGCATTTGAACAGATGAAATACCTCTAGTAGGTATTTGTTCTTCATATAATTGTGATATGTTCACAGAATTCACAGTACTCACCAAAGCTCTAAAAGTAGTGAGTAAATAATCTTTCAATACCTAACATATTTACAATAATTAATATCGTAAAGAGCACACTTACGGAATAGCTTGACATTTAAATTTATGTTGCGGCCAATCAACTACTTGGCAATTTCTACTACAGTAGAAACTGTGACACCTTTCGCATGTAAGCTTTGTTATATTTGAACACCTCTGACACTTACCCACTGTATTTTGTAACATATCTTGACCATGTTGATACAAACCCTATTAAATCAAATGACTATGTTACTACCTAGGGCCTAGATTTATTAAATTTCCTTTCTCTGTCAATATTCTTACTTACAGAAGTACGTTTTTCATACACTTTACTAATGTGATTCTGAACTTCAGGATATGGATCTGGGATTTCATACATTGTATATCCTCGCCCAAGGGACACGTGTCTCTTACCATCTTGTGTAATAGTTAATTGGCCTCTAGAATATTTTTAAAGGAATGATTACACATGTATATGCCACATACAAATTACAAATATTAAAATAATACCTTGTCCATAATGCATTTGTATTTGCATAAGGTTCTGCATTTTCATATGGATTATATGTATGTGGGTCAGAAGGACAGGTATATAATAAATCACTATCTGCAGTGTAATTGTATTTTGGAAGGTCCGTATTTGGTTCTATTCTTTTAAATGTCTCTAGAAGTTTTTCTTTTCCTTGTCTTGGTACGCTATGCATAATTACAATTCATTTATTTTAACATATATTATGACTATTCAATAATATTGATAAGTAAAGATATATAAATAGATACTTACAAAGGTCTATCTACAGACTTAACATCTTGTATATGATCTTCCCATTTTTCATCTTCAAAAACAGATGCTTTTGTAACTTTCACTTCTTTGGATCCCTTCTCTCTGGCAAATGACACTTTCAAACGTAAAGGTGGTACATTATGTAAATCTTTAATGGCATTTTGAGCTTCACGACTTGTACTATATGTAATGTATCCCCAATCGGCATTTGGTCGGTAAAAATGTCCAATAACTTCTCCATAATGAGTAAAGATTTGCAAGAAACCATGCTTTGAAACATTGAAAAATTACAGTAAATTTTACATCATCATATACAATGATCAATCATGTGCAGATAAATTTGTAATCTTAACAAGAACATATATTAATCTTTATACATACTTTCATTTATATTAATCCTTACATATACATACCTCGTTTAATTCCCCGGGCAAATTATTTACGTGTATCGTATATTCTGCGTTAGCACTGCTTTAAAAAAAATGTATTTTTGTATAAAAAGAGGGGTAAAAAAATATCCGTAATTTACTATTTATTATACAAATGAAGAATAAACAGGCCGAACAACGTGCTGCTTGGAAGAGTACACACGTGACGTATTTCAAACCCACACAATAAGGAAACAATTCGAAAATTATACATTTCAAATTGAAAACTATATGAATGAATAGAAGAATGATATACTGTTGATAAATTTATTGTTATAAACATTTTAATCTTGCTCTTACCTGTTAGACACCCGAGTGTCTTTTGTTAATACCCCAAACTGATGACACGCCATTGTATATTTTATTGTTTATCAATTACAAAAAACCTATAAAAGTGTCTGTACACACTTTAAAAGTAGAGAATACAATTTGAATGGAACTAACTGTGACAAATATATCAATTTCAAGAAAGATTCAAAACGCAATACTTAACAATACGAAGTTTGAACCGTCTACATACTACCGACCAGTACCGGCGTACAAACGTGTATCATATTTCGTTCATTCTAGATTTCTACCATGCGAGGACTAGTGTGTACTGTGTATACATACTGACACTTTGCTTTACGTAGGGCGAATTCATAAGTATGAATCGCGACAGAAGGAAAGAATGCAGTAAAAAACGGGTGACATCTGAATGAAAACAAGCATGTAATTGCGAATCTTACTTTGTACTAAAAAGAATGTACAAGAAGAATGAAGTCATCACGTGAGAGGGAAATATTAAAGATATGTTCATAATTATAATTATATCTATAAAGCTCTGATATTTTCGTGAATTCAAATATTTATAAAAGCGAGAATTCTATAGAAACCTTATAAATGGTTTTATTAATTGATACAAAAATAAAATGTGTATTAAATCGATTTAATGTTTTTAGTTGACTGTGCTTGACTAAACTGCATATATATATAACAAAATCTACCAATGTATAACTTTTGTTCTGTTCGATAAACAAATTTGTTAATTATCATATTAGAACTGTATATTATATATGTAGGTCGTGAGTAAATTATATATTTTTCTAAATCATCGTGGACAGTTACTATTTAAATATGCCTCTCATACTTTATCTGTGACCTATCCACCTATCTCTAAAAAAATAAAGGGTAAGTATCAATCCCCTATTCATTAACCACCGACTAGGATAGGCATAGACATATATAAGAGATTCCGCGATCTTATGGTAGGAATGAAGTCGGCACTAGAGAGAGTGGACAATAACTAGAGTAGCTTTTCTCTTTTTCTAATGGGGTTGGGGTTGAGGATGTGGTGTGGGGAGGATCCTAGTAATATATAACAGCCTGCACGTTGACAGGTGACAGTGATATTTCGTTGGCCTCCGTATTAGCTAGCGCACTGCGCCGAACGCGAATAGCATGATGTTGTAGTCGCAAGGGAGCAATAGAATCGAATAGATGTATTGTACCGCAGCGCATCGTATTGTATTTTAAACTTTTATATCATTATAATTTATATGTATATATGTATATTCCAATAAACATGCGTGAGGTAATATAAGCTTCATTTCATGGAATTGTCTTAAATATAACTGCATAAATATTGTACAATCCTATACTAATTATAGTTGTCTGGTTCAACAGGTTACTACAGAAACAAACTACTGCCTACATGTTTTAAACTTGGGCTGTAGTAGTATCTGCAGAAACTACCATGGTTGCTGGGGTTATTATTCAATTTGTTCACGGGAACACGCACAAGCGTCAGTCCCAATTCGACAGTTGCACGAGCAACAATTCGACCGAGCTCGAGAGTTGTACGAGCAACAGCGATAAAGGATCACCTTTCAAATGTGTACTGACGCAAGCCATTTTAGTACCGTTCATTGTCCCGTAATCCACATGTAATAACAACAGATTGAATCCGGCAGAGGACTACTGCAAATTATTACATACGCCTATCGTATGCAACCGGTAATCAAAATTTCGGCGACAAACTTATGAAACCCTTACGAAGTTTTGAAGACGGTACGGAAGATTTGCAAGTTACAGAGGAGGGAATTATTTGCGGCATATAAGTTACAATATTTTGTAAGCCTGAATAATATCTAAGCCTACTTTTTCCGAATTTATATAAATATCATTACAAGTATATTGTAGAATCATATAGATAAGTAGGATTTAAGTAAAATAAGTACCTAAGGGCACTTTTAACGAATCTATGCAAATATTATTGTAAATATATTGTAAAATCATATATGCAAGTAGTATTTAAGGCGATTGTTGTTAAATTTATAGAAATACTATTGTAAATTGTGTATTTTCGTACGTTTTTTCAATAAAAAACAGTCAAATCATACATATGCGTTATTCATTAATCCCAGCACTATCTCCACTCCTATTCCTAATATCAATTATCCAAAAAAGTAAGTTTTTCCGCCATCTTGGATTTTGAAAAAGCGCGGGAAAAATTAGGATTCATGGGGCATACTAGTGGCGCCCCCCAAAAAGCGGGTGGCGGAAGTTGGAACTAAATGTAGAACTTCTTCGATAGTTCGCACAGTCGCCACCAGATGGCGCTGCTTAAAAAGTTTTAGAATTAGTTCCAACATTCGCCACCCACTGTTTGTGGGGCGCCACTAGTACGTCCCATGAATCCCAATTTTTCCCGCGCTTTTTCAAAATCCAAGATGGCGGAAAACCCTGCAGTACGGTGAAACTACTCACTGAAAATAACAATAAACGATCAGAACACTGTTAAAATCGCATTTAATCGCGGAGTACCACTATTTTTCGACTGGTGGCGCCATCCGTGGCGTAACTTTGAAACTGCTAGCCATATAATTGGTTAGCAGTTTCACCGATTCGCCACGGATGGCGCCACCAGTCAAAAGAATAGTGGTACTCCGCGATTAAATTGCGATTTTAACAGTGTTCTGGTCGTTTATTGTTATTATCCATAATAGTGGATTAATCTACGTACTTTCAGCTACAAATTGAGTGCTTCAGCTAAACGAAAGCTGTCCGTAGAACGGTGTAAGAGCTGTGTAAAGTGAACTAAACGGGGTACGCATGACGAGATACCGTGTCAACCGTTGCAAATAAATATTATTTTAACAATGTTCTTGTAATTACTGGTTCCCAGCCGTTAGAGAGTATTATTCTACGTTCTTTAAATTTCGAATTTAATGCGTGACGAAGAAAAATGATGCCCGTTCTCACAAGTACTAGTTTCTAACTTCGTTTATGAAAAGACAAATTCGAAAATCTTCTCGCACCACACATCTAGGGCAGTTCTGTCGTGAACTTACCCACAAAACGTAATTAAAATCATTTAAATAAGATAATTAATATTTCATATTTCTCATAAATATTAAGACGGGGTTGTTGTTTAATAATTTATGATAAAATACAAATTATTCATTTATAAAGCTTCATTACAAGATCCACTAAATAATTTTCTATAACATTCAAAGTACTAGACATTTTTAGAACACTGAATCTCATATCGATTTCTAAAATAATCCTAGTTCGATGTAATATA